AACTGCTGAGACCTTGATTTAAATTGCCTTTGAAATTGCCCTTATTTATACTGCTAAGTGATTATTCGAGAAAAAAAATCCACCAGATTTTTAATATAAACTCCTGGACAATATCAAAAGGCAATTATAAAAAGTTTATTTCCTTTATTTTTTAAGTTTCAACTCATACAACCTAAATGATATTGTAATAAAATGTTTTCTACTAATGGTTGACTGAAAAAAAAATTCAATTAACATACAGACAGAAAATAATAACGTCAAGTGCACTGAAAACCTATCAATAAAATGCTTCAAAAAAACATTTAAAGCTAAATTAAATGCGAAAACTTGAATTTAGTAACGTGCAGATCCTCCTCCAGCACTTATTACTGCTACCATTCGTCTGGGCATGCTGTTAATCAAATTTTGAAAGGTCTCTTGGGGAATATTTTTCATTCGATAAGAACAGCTTGGTCATAGGAGTTGGTATGTGTTGTCTGACTGATCGTTTAAGTGCATCCCATAGATGCTCTATATGATTCATATCTGGGCTTCTTGGTGGCCAGTCCATCGTTGGAATATTCACGGACGTGGGGCCTAGCGTTGTCTTGCATAAATAAGAAATTGTTTCCGATAAATGGTGCAAATGGAGTCACATCTTCTTCTAAGATATTTTCCAAGTAGAAAGTAGTGAATTCATGGATCTCCTCCTTATAGGGATCAGATCCGTGCGACAATTGAAGCAGATTCTTCCCCAGAAAATTACTGATCCACCAAAAAACGGTATTCTCGGAGAGATATTACAGGCAGCCCCCTTCTTGTCTTCTCCAGGCTCGCTCACCTCCATCGTTTCATACGAGAACAAAACTCTCTTCCAGTCGTCGAGGGTCCATTTCTGTGTTCCTTAGCAAAACACAGTCTAGCAAATCTCTGTTCTCTGGTGAGCAGTGGTGCAAGTCTTCTACTGTTGAATCCTCTATCATTGAGCTTTCTCATGGCCGTTCTTGCAGAAATTATTGCATTACGAGCTGCTAGGGCTCTGCTTAGCTCTAAACTAGTAGAACGTCTGTTTCGTAAAGCAAATTATATAAGATATCGCTCATCTCTGGCATCTGTAGACTTCTTACGACCTTGCCCTTCGGCACTACAGATATTTCCAAGTTCTTTGGAATGTTTAACAGTTCGGCTAATTGTGGATTATCTCACTCTAGGCCTGGGTAACTCAGTGAATTTTTAGGAGTTGGCGCAATGCTGCGCATATGTCTTGGTGCGCCAACCGAACGGCGCGGCGCAGTAACTCAGTTCCGTTGCTGAAAAACGTTACTTATAAAAAAATGTTGATGACTTTTTTAGTTCTTTGGACAAAGTGGTAAACCCTTTCTCATAAAAAATGTTGATAAATTTTTTTCAGATGCTAAATTTCCAGTTTGGGTCTCGGAAAGCTTTAATCCGCTTTAATAAATTAGTTATAACTCACTAACGGATGAGTTAGCTCAGAGGACGGCAACAACTCAAAAGCGCAACTCAACACAGCGTTACCCAGACCTACCTCACTCCTACCAAATATTCTGAATATTGCAAGAAATAATGAGAAGTTCTGCTGATGCGTTAATTTTGTCCAGGAGTTTTTTGAAACACTCGCTTCTGGCGGTCAATCGAGACACTTGAATATCAACTTGCTAGAGATTCTGCGACAGCGTGATTACTATCTTCTAGTTTCTACTAGAAGGTCTTTTACGCGAAAATGCTTGAGCACTTACCCAGCATTGTGCTGTTGGTCAAAGTTAATATATTTCTACCCCATCAGAAATCTAGGTAAATTCATGAAGGCCTAATTGTTCAAGTAGATATAACATTTAATTAATAATTAAATAATACTAATAATAATATCATTTGTCATAATGTAATTGTCTATTTCTATGGCTGAACTAGAACTCGAACTTCCTTCTTTAACATTTAGTTGGAGTGCTCCGTTTGTAAATCAAATGAGTCAACTTCGGCCGACCTTTACTCATGAAAACGGAAACCCCACAGCATTAAATCACTTAGATTTGTTTAGAGGCGTTTTAAAATAGTTGGTGTGCAACGATTTGTCATAAATCACGCCGAGGACCTGAACGATGAGAAATTTACTATTCATAATGAGACTTTGCCCACCTACAGTTTAACCATAAAATAAACAAATTTGTGAAGAAGTATGATTTTGCTTAATGTTTAAACGAGCAGTGGTGCAATTTTTTTGATCAACTTTTATTAAAATTGCTGCTGGCGTCGAAGATTACTAAACCCACCAGACCGAGCAGAACTAACTAGCTCAATATAAAAGTACGTTAAAAAAAGAAGCCCTCGTTCTACGCAATAATAAGTAAAATACTTGAGATCGATGGGTAAGATATTCAACTATAAAAAATTAACCAAAGTGACAAGTGAAGTGAAGATAAGGTATTTTCATTTACAGGTCTCGCAGTCACTGGCGTTATGTGAACATTAACGATAAGATGCTGAGACAACGGGTTTTAAGACGTCTTTCTTCACCTATTTACGTTGAATACTTCATAATTGTTTTAATGAGCGTGAGCACAATACCTATTAATGAATTGCTCAATAAACCTCGCCACAATACCAATTGTAGATAATTAATTTGCACTTCCTTATTATTTTGTTCATTTGAAGACTTTTCCAACGTATCTCGTAGTTTCAAGAAAACGACCAATGTTTCATCTGCGGTCGACGCCATTGATGGAACATATTTTTATTTTCTCGTATTCTTCAGATAAAGGGCAACTACTAAGCTGTTTATAGACCTGCAGCTCGTTAAAAAATAATTGATCTTTATAACTCCTCGCCAATAACATTGTAGGACCATTGTTACTTGAGCTATATTGGCAATTTTGAATCTGTGGTTACCTTAATGATTGTCGTTTATCTTCATATAGCATAAATTAAAATTTATCGAATGTTTTTATCAAATCCAATCTCATCAATTAGTTTCAGATCACCGGAATATTGAATATAAAGGGATCTTCTGCCTAGTTAAGCCTGTTTCGCCTGTTATACCTTCCAGCGCTAGGTATGTTTGTTGTCATTTTTTCCAATGGTTTTATTATTTAGCGAGCTTTAATGCATAATCGTAAAAATATGTATTAAAGCGATGAGTTTAATCCAACACTAACAACCGTGATTTTACATTTAAAAGCTTTGAATGGCGGCAAAGATGTACATTAAAACGATCCTATAATTATACTCTATGCTAAACGATGCAACATAAAAGTAAAAGAATGTTTTTCTTTGAACAGGCATTATTGCCTTAGGAAGGTGCTAAAGCAGACAATGCGTCAATTTTTTGGGTGTTTTTAATTTTTACTAGCAAATGATATTCGTTCTAAAGCGAATATTTATTCGAAAAATATCGGTACGAAATAATCTACACATTAAAGTCTAATATATAATAATAGAATAATGATTTGTAAATTAATGGATATTAAAGTAAATAGTTTTTTATGTAGCTCGGGTCATGAGAGCTAAGCAGGCATGTCAAACTATTTTTCTTCTATATAATCTCAAAGCCTTGTTAGTGCAAACCAGTACACCCTGCAGCATCTTTCTGATACCAGATAAAAATGCTGCGCTTCTTCTCTCCTACATAAAGCCTTAATCACAAAAGGCCGATATTAAGTGAAGGCCGCGAGTTTGAAAACTCGGCTATAGATTTGAAAGTTATTTTGCCGAAATAAGTTTATTTTATTTGTCCGGCACAATTTGGAATTTTAATTTTGCTTTTATTAGGCAAAAAACTTTTTTTGCCTTGTGCAAAAGCAAATTTTGTCATGATTTCTGTGGTAATTTTTGTATGTATATTATTTTGCTGTCAATGTACAAGATGGCTGTGTCCATTGATATATTATCACTCCATCTGTTGAACAGAATTAATTTCTTTTTAAAATATGTACGTTTTTATAAATTCGGTAAATTATTTTCATATTTCGTCTAAATGCGAAATTTTTGCTTCACGTCTTAGTTATTAATTTACAGGGTGTTCGAGTTTTGATGATTAGGACTTCAGGTATCGTTAGAAAAACGATTTTTTTTTCATTTTGCGACTTTTATGGTGTTAAAAATAAAAAGTGTTTTTATTTTTTTTTATATCCGAACGACCATGCAATTGTAACCAAATTTGACACATAGGTAAAACCGAATTATCGCGAACATTAAACATAATTATTGCGGTAGGCAAATTTTAACTGGCACAACTTGGATATTTCAGTGATTTCAAATCGTTCTTTTGAAACCAATAAACGCTCTGTTCAGTAGATTGGTAAAAATCACTTTTAAGTTCGGATGTACAAAAACGTATTAAAATTTTTAACACATTGTAAAAAATAAAAAATGGAAAAAATCGAACTTTTTTTATATGCCAGACATATCATAAAAAGTATTTTTTTATCCATATTT